CTTGGGAGCTTTTATCATAGAAATTAGAACCAAGCCATATCTGCTCCTGTCAAACGCTCTCACCACAGAGCTATGCCTCTACCATCATAAACTGATGAGATCACTTACTCCTACATTTCTACGCTGAACGAGGGTTGTCAGCAATGCCAGGATGTGACAAAACACAGGGGATGAAACCGGCAATGAGATGACTGATTTGTCAGCAAATGTAGTGGATATCAAAGAGACAAAAACAAGGATCCTCGTAAAGCCTCTGAATATTTATTGCCTGGCACACATTTCTAGCAATCGATAAAACCAAAATTAAAATCCAAAGAGCGCATCTTCAAATATCACCACTGTGTCATAAAATGAAAACGATTGCTGAATATATGTAGGTTTTATGTGTGTTTCGGAAAATACTCATGAATCATGTAATGAATATGTCAGTTGACATGTGTAAGGAATGTTAGTGCCGACAGTTATTTTGAGGGAAATGACTCACTTATCTTGCAATACCACGGGCCAAGATGCATGGAGGTACTGTTCAGCTGCGGGTGTCAATACTTACTTGGACCGCCTCCGTGGTCTAATGGTGGACCGTCCGCCCAGAGAGCGGAAGGTCCTGGGTTCGATCCCCAGCCGCGTCATACCAAAAGATGTTAAAAGATGGTACTTGTTGTTACCCTGTCTGGCACTCGGCATTTAGGGGCTAAAACAAGGACTGGTCGGCTCAGAGTCAGTATACTGTGTCGGCATCAGTCCGGACTAGTACAAGCAGCCACACACACACACATACACGTGCATGCATGTTGCTATATAAGTGCAATAATCTTGGACACGATTTTAAACCCCATTTCACCTCACCAATACTTACTTGGTAAAAAACGACGAGTAAGTTTAAGCAGCAAGATACATATTTCACTGGGAATGATATATTTCCTTTGGCTTGTCTTTTGTCATTCTCTGATAAGACTTTGTTTTGTTGGTTATACTAATTATATAACAGAATCACTGACTGCAAAATATGTTTTGTTTTATGATAAGCACACTCACTGGTTTGAAGACATGTCAAGCTTGAACAGATAGTGGGAACGCATCTTGCTTCGCAGAGAAAAGGGATAAGAAGACATGGCATGTGCTGTCCGAGCACGTGCAAAACGAGGACTTACTTAAGTTAAGTTCACTTTGGTTTTGAGATGTCGTCATGTTAGGACGTACATTCGTGACTTTGGTTTGATAGTTCGTTGAGACAGGACACATATTCATCAGTTTTGGTTTGAAATGTCGTCGCGATCGGACATACATTGATCAGTTTCGTTCTATAGCTCGTCAAGGTAGGACGTAGTAGAGCGTGTTAGTTACGATAGGATGTCGTAATAGGACACAGCAATGCTAGCCAAAATAGGGCTAGACTGATAGATTGATAGCAATAGATTTTGAGAATCATATTTAGTTAATTTTGTCATATTTACATTCCTTTCTTCTTTTTTTAGAAGAGATTCACGTTTAGTTCCCCGAATTTATTAGCTGAATTATTTCATCATATCAAGATAGTTACGTTTAGTTCCCCGCATACAACAGTGAGGGAATTCACATTTTTGTTAATAGTTAATATTCCACTGCGCAACACTCACAATGATCTACTTGGGCTTGTGCCCGCTCACAGTGGACTGCCTCCATGGTCTCACGATAGAGCGTCTGCATGGGGAGCGGAAGGTCGGGGGTTCAATCCCCAGCCGCGTCATACGTTGAAAGATGGTACTTGTTGTTACCCTGCCTGGCACTTGGCATTAAGGGGCTGAAAGAAGGACTGGTCTGCTTGGGGTCAGTATACTGTGTCTGAGTGGGGTATTCATATTTAACTGTGGCATGGTATCTCAGTGAGCCAGCATCAGTTATATGACCCAAATAATTGTGTGTAATAACTTTCCGCTATTAGCACATGCACATTTTAGCAACGTCACTGTGCTTCATTGTTGAGAAAAACATGATATGATGTCATACATTGTTCATGATGTCACAAATTGATTACATGATGAAATTGAACAGTTGACTGCCATCAGTGAAGTTTCACTGTAGGATTGACATTTCATGCAATTTTTTCTCTTAGAAAATGTCAAAGAGTAATATACAGAATAACCAACTTGAAACATGCAGCTATGGAATATCTTTCTTTGCGAATGAATGCTGTAAGTCCATTATTATTCCAGCAGGAGACACACAGAATGAGATTCAATCATACGTTGGGAATCAAACCTAGATTTTCGGTGTGGCGGAGGACACTTTAACCACTAGGCTTCCCATTTTCCTCACTGAATGAGTAAGATACTGTATTCAAGTACTGCTGAGATATAATGGCTATTTGATGTATATGGGACACAAATAATAACAGTGTACATACAATACAAAATTGATCTATTCTGATGAGTGAGTGAGTGAGTGAGTATGGTTTTACGCCGCTTTTAGCAATATTCCAGCAACATCACAGCGGGGAATACCAGAAATGGGCTTTACACATTGTACCCATGTCGGGAATCGAACCCGGGTCTTCGGCGTGACGAGCGAACGCTTTAACCACTAGGCTACCCGACCGCCCCCTATTCTGATGAATCTGTTTTCACCTGCCAACACTGTTGGGAATGCAATTTCTCTATAAGTCGGATTTATTTCATTACTGAGGAATGTAATAAATTTCACATTTTGGCTATGTTTCTTTTTCATATAGAATTCTGACTAAATAATACAAATATCATCCAAACCCCTTCATACTCTTTTACTATAAAATTATAGTTTTCTCTCAAAATATCATCATTACATATGTGCTCATATTCATAATAAAATAATACTTGCTGCTGAAATCCAAAACAATACCTATAAATATTCCAAATTTGAAACCAATTGATTAATGCTCCCTTTGGCCTCTGACTTCATAACAATAATTATGGCTCAGATAAGATAGAACATAACTACGTACATGTCATTATATGTAAAACATAGCATGTGTGCACTAATGCAGATGTTTACCAGAAATATAACCCTTCACTAGTACAAATGAATTCAGTTAGCTTGTACACCTTCCATTTTAGAAGCTATAACATAATTACCTAAATACAAGCCATCAATACAAATCCAAAAAGAACCGTACATAATTTTGAGTGAGACTAGTTAAAAGCCTGTAACTTTCTTGCAAAAAGAAATTCACCAAAATATTCTTGAGTACCAGAAAATGATGTGTAGTGGAACTGTAGAAGCAGAAACACTCTCGTGATGTTTTCCCTGTACTCGAGGGGAGCATGTCGAGATTGTATGCAGATGCTTCAGTGGCTGAGGGTCGAGAATGTTAATACTGACGATGTTGTTGGTAATTGACTTCCTGCAACACTCCATAGATCATCATTTGGACTTGTAAGTAACAATTAAGATGATATCAATACGATACCCAAATGTTGTTATTTTTACTGAAGTATATTGAAGCAAAGAAGTAGGGGAATGCCGAGATTTATTTTCAGAAGTAAGGGAATATATTAATTTACAGTTGAGTTACAAAATGCTTCAAATTAACAAATAGAGCAATCAGGCTCTGTAGCTCACTGTAATATGTTTTGAATATTTGATCATAAACATTGTGATTATATAGAGAACAAGAAAACAGCGTTACCACTATCCCCTGCCATGGGACATATTAGAATTGTTTTTGTTCATATAGTAGTGAATTTTAACTATAAAAGAGTGGCAAGAAAACTGTGAGCGTTACCACTATCTCTTCCATGGGGCATGTTAGAAGTTTGTTTGTTCATTTAGCAGTGAAAAAAAACAATGAAAAAAGAGTCCTATAAAGCCTTAAGAAAAGATAGGCACCTGGGCTGCATTATGTCATCAGAAAAAATGATTAAATGTGAGATTAATACACACAAAAGGACCCTTCTCTGGAAACTAACTACAGTAGTTTCTGAGAAAACTTGTCCCCATTGCTAAGACTGTGCACAAGGTCAAATAACATGGATCAAGGGCTATGACTCTGTACAAATACAACTGACTTCACCAATTTTCGAACTCAATCTTGACAAGTATCTCTTAAATAAGCAAGCAAACTTTCATTCATGCAACTTCTGTATTTCTGAGAAAACTTGTCCCCATTGCACACACTATGCACTAAGTTGAAAAGGGCCATAACAAATGATTTACTACACCAAGTTTGGAACTCATTTGAAATATGACCCATAATATCAGTGTGTAAAATTTCATTTCTCTGACTTAAATAGTTTTTGAGAAAATTTGTCCCTTTTAGAAGCAGATAGACGGTTGAATGAACTCTGTTCCAATATCCCTCGCCCTACTTTGTGGCAGGGGATAATACACAAAGTTCAGAACATCCTCACAGTGTTCCAGCTCATAGGCATTGTTTTTCAGACAAATGTCAAAAACGTAACTGTTTCATGAGACGGAGAGACAGACAGACAGGTGGTAGACGGAAAACATGCCACAAGTTCACTTCAATCAAGAGTTCATGTGCGCTAACAATTTAAATGCAGTTGTTTGTTTCTATCAAAGTACATATTTTCAGAGACCCCTGAAGATTCAGGGTAGAATACGATTTCAGGAACCCATGCTTGCCTTAAAAGGCGACTACGCTTATCGTAAGAAGTGTCTAACGGGATCTTGTGGTCAGGCTCGCTGACTTGGTTGAGGGTTCCTGAGCCAATCAGCTGTTAGCTTTCTAAAGTGATTTGGCTTCATTTCTTTAATTAGCACCTCATTTTCGAATTTCAGATTTTAACAAAAGGTAACTCACGCAGGAAACAAATGTTCCTCCAAGGGTATGTTTTGCATGTATATGCCATTGACATCAGAAACAACAGGGTGCATAAAAAATCAACAGCAACATAGTGGTGCAGTCTTTATTCTGTACAAAGCCCACCTGACTTGACCTACAAATAAATGTCATATCGGAGTGAAAACCTGATAATTAAATTAAGCACTTTGCTGTCAGTTCAAGGTCATAGTGAGAAACATCCCAGATGGTTAATCCTGGTATCAGAGTGCCAGAAACATCCCAGATGGTTAATCCTGGTATCAGAGTGCCAGAAACATCACAGATGGTTAATCCTGGCATCAGAGTGCCAGAAACATCCCAGATGGTTAATCCTGGTATCAGAGTGCCAGAAACATCCCAGATGGTTAATCCTGGTATCAGAGTGCCAGAAACATCACAGATGGTTAATCCTGGTATCAGAGTGCCAGAAACATCACAGATGGTTAATCCTGGTATCAGAGTGCCAGAAACATCACAGATGGTTAATCCTGGTATCAGAGTGCCAGAAACATTACAGATGGTTAATCCTGGCATCAGAGTGCCAGAAACATCACAGATGGTTAATCCTGGTATCAGAGTGCCAGTGGCAAGTCAAAATCATGACGCAATTGAAAAAGGTTTCTGCTGAAGGTCACTTTTTGAAATCATATTTTTTATATATTTTATCTTGTGAAGATGTTTATTTATGAAGCCAGTGATGAATGTTCAGTTCAACAAGAAAACTGGAAGAACAGATTGAAAATAAACATGCGATGAATGCACAGCATAGTTCATAAAAATCTGGAGATTCAGCAACAGAAAGGGTATTATCATATTTCGATGAAAAGAAAGGAAGAAAACTTTCTCAATTACAACTGCTTGTTATCTTGTTCACAGTGAAATAACAGTCACGGAGGTTGAGGATGGATCACAAATATTTCTTGTGCACGCTTCAATTCCAAAGGGCACATCAAAACATCGTTGTTAGTTCTGTCTGGTACAGTGTCCCCCAAATAATACAATTCTGTCCCTGGTGATGGCTTGTAAGTAACTGATTCTGGACCTGATAAACCCTTTATTGACTGTACAATACAAGCAGTATCACAAGGGGTATATGTGGTTTTATGCATCATGTGTTTCAGTTTGCCATTGTAAAGAATTAAAACATTGAAAATTGATGGAAAACAGCTGTTCGCTTGAGCTTAAAGACACTGTCTTAGCAAGGTCAAGGATGAAAGGTTGGATAAGGTGAAGGCTACTTTTAGCACTAGTTTCATCAATGTCAGCCTGATAAAGTGTTCTCTATCCAGATACTGCCATTTACAAGGTGACTTTTCATTGATTTACAAATATAATTGACTATTGCCAAAACCGACAATCATAAAATGAAATAATTTAATTTGAATATATTTTTATTTTCTTGAAAAATACAAAGAAACAGCTGAAGGTCATACAACATTAAAGTAACTAAATGTATAACAGTCAGGGAGTCGGTAGCCCGAGTTGAGTAAAATCTCATACATGTACTCAAAATAATGTCAAGAGACAGGTAGTAGATTCCAAGTCTATGTCACCTGCTGCTGTTAACTTTTTAAATGGTAATTGCATTGTGTGAAGTCTCAGGCAACTACATCTCTTATAAACAAAAAACAGCCTTTTCAGTAATAGATATATTCAGATGTTTCTGTTAAAATATATCAAACATCATGCAATTTTCTTTTTCTTTGCAAATTTTTGTTTTGCTTTTGGACTGAACCAAACTAATTAAGTAGCAATAATGTGTAAACGATAAACAAAAGGGCCTGAGACTGACAACCTTATTGCACTCATTTCATCCTCCTCAACCACGGTTCAAGACCCAGATCCACTTGATTTTATTAACCATAACAGCCATTCCGTGCAACCCTCCAAGTTTTCCTTGAATGACCTTCAGTTGTGTAACCTTTAAATGTAAATATTATCCCATCTCACAATTGAGATATTGAGGGAATTAAAAGACTCAAACGACATAAATCGTCATAAATGCAGACCAACCCTTATAATCCTTGTTTTTATATGGATCTTCTTGGTCGATATGCCAAGAGGAGGGATGCAAAAATTTAAGAATTCGAAAGATATTGTCAGGGTTGATTTCAGCTAAGTTTCCTATTCCTGAGATAGAAGTTCTAAAACTACATACAAAAAGACGTTTAAAAAGCATATTTTAAAACAGATTAAATTTAATAAGACAAAAATATGTACCAAAGGCCCATCAGACTCGTTAAAGATCAGTGAATATTTGTGGTTACAAAACAGAGCTATTCCCCTGTAATATATTTGTCTCAATTTTAAGAGAATTGGCAACTGTACATAAATGTCTCCAAACATTTCATGTCTACACTGTTCTTGTCCATATTTATTGGGTAGGATTTGGAGATCCCTACAAGGTAGTTTTGCCCTCAAATATAAATAATAATATTTTACAATTGACTTATATGGATAGCTATATATAATGGCACACCAGATAGTGACAATATTAACAATACATTTGAATTTGCGACTCACCCTTTTGACATACATACTTGGACAAATCTCTCACACTTTAACATATCACACTTTATATCGAGTTAATCATACACAATTTACAAAAGACTGCCTCCATGGTCTAGTGGTAGAGCACCTGCCCAGAGAGCAGAAGGTCCTGGGTTCGATCCCCATGTACGTCATATCAAAAGACGTTACAAGTTGTTACCCTGCCTGGCGTTTGGCATTAAGGGGCTAAAACAAGGACTGGTCAGCTCTGTCAGTGTACTGTGTCTGAGTGTGCTATTCATGTTAAACTGCGGCATGGCATCTTAGTGGGCTTTCACTATAACATTGGCATTAGTCGGGACTCGTACAAGCAGCCACACATACAGATACACTAACACGTGCATGCATGTCTTTCCGTCTCTCAATCGAGACAAATTTTCTCTGCAAAATGAAATTTTACACACTGATGTTACTGGTCATGATCACATATGAATTCGAAAATTGTTGTAAATTCATTTGTTACAGAGTTATGGCCCTTGCTCTGTGCTTTTCAATGAAGTGCATGCTGCGTGAAATGGAGACAAGTTTTCTCAGAAACTACTGGAGTTATAATGAATGAGTGTTTGCATTCTGGTCTAAGAGATACTTGTCAAGAGTGAGTTCGAAAATTGGTCCCGTCAATTATTTTTTTACAGAGTTATGTCCTTGAACCATGTTATTTTACTTAGTGCTTTGTATGTGCGATGGGGACAACTTTTCTCAGAAACTACTGGAGTTAGCTTTTCTAAGAGATACTTATCAAGACTGAGTTATTTTATTCCAGAGAAGGCCTTTTGTGTGTATTATTTCACATTTAAGAATTTTTTCTGATGACGTAACCGGCCAACGTGCCAATCTCTTCTTAAGTCTTTTTTTCATTCTTTTTTATAGCTTATAATCACAACTATGAACAAGCAAAATTCTTATGTGCCCCAGGGTGGGGGGCAGTGATAATGCTGTTTTCTTGTGTAATTCAGCTTTATTTAATACAATGATGCTTTAAAATCCAATAACAAACAATTTGCAAACTTGCTCCAACAAATATAGCTTGAGGGATCATATAGAATTCCTGCTGTCTTCTCTGCTGTATTCCACATCTTCCGTGACAGCGTCTACACCATCATGAAAAGAAGAGGGTAGATCCTCATTAGGGACTTTATTGAGGTACTGGCCATCTTGGACTTTGATCGGCTCGTTATGACACTGACTGAATTCATTAAATGTTCACATTACAAAATTTGACATCAGTTTGATCTCCAATGTTTATGCATCAGTCAAACCTTTTTATTTCATTTCCTCAGCCGATATATAATCCAGAGAGCTGCGTTGTATACAAGCTCAGAGAGAGACATTACAATTACCGTTAGGAAGTCAATGTTCTGTGGTCTGTGTGGACAGCCGACAATTGACACGAGTCCTTGGTGATTCAATAATTTCCCCAGACTCTCGTAAACATTTACCAATCCTTATTTAGTCCTGACAGCCAATTTTGGTATTTGTCCACCGTAATCGTTCAGAGGACAACACACCCAGCATCAACAATTCATCGTCTATTCCCCTGCATCAGATTCTTTGAGACTCAAGCAGAATAGTTTGACAAACTGTGATCATTAGGGCAATGAAGACGGCCTCACTAATTACTCAATGCCTAGAGATTTTACCGCAATTGACGAGGGAGTACAAATTTACACGAGGATGTCTGAAGTCTAGGGTTGTAACTCTTAACATATCGATGCAGCCAATGATGATGTTGTCAACACCCTGTTGGTTCGTGGGATTCAGTCAGCAGTGTGGTATGCACGACGCAAATAATATCTTATTTAGAACGCAGATTCAACTTTTTTTAGAAAGTACGAAAAAAATAATTCTTTATATATTTGATTTTGTTTCATATTTTGTGTGTAATGCAACTTCAAGTTGCACCCTTTTTGACCTGGGAGCGTGTTCTATAGGATTTCGTCAGTTATCGACATTCTGCCTTTGTAGAGTGAATTCTGAGATGCGCTTTTGAGATTTGTGTCATTCAGTATTCGGGATTCAGATATGAGCAAATGTGGCAAGAATTTAACAGCTTTATCCCTATCTCTGCCATGGGGCATATTAGAAGTTTGTTTGTGCATATAGTTGTGAAAACAAAAATGACAGACTCCTATAAAGCCTCCTATAGGCACTTGGGCTTCTTTATGTCTTCAGAAAAAATTATAAGATGTAAAAATAATACACACAAAAGGCCCTTCTCTGAAATTTGTTTACGGCACCAATTGTATTATGAGTATCTCTTAGATAAGCTATCTTCAGTTGTCCCCATTGCAGTCACTTTTCACTTTGTAAAATAACATGGATCAATGGCCGTAACTGTGTATGCTCAAAATCTAAAAACATGTAACAAGGGAAGTAACTCTGAAGAAAATACTTTACGGGGACCAATTTTCGAGTCTTGACAAGTATCTCACAGACAGGCAAGCAAACATTCATTCATGTAATGTCAGTAATTTCTGAGAACAGCTGTCCCCATTTCAGACACTATGCACCTCGTTGAAAAGCACAGACAAGGGACAAAACTCTGTAAAACAATAATTGACGGGACCAATTTTCAGACTCAGTACTTTTATTCATGTAATTTCAGTAGTTTCTGTGAAAACTCATCCCCATTTCATGCGGTGTGTACTAAGTTGAAAAGCATGGAGCAAGGGCCATAACTCTGTAAAAATTGAATTTAATACACCAATTATCAAACTCATTTAAGACTATGACCAGTAATATCAGTGTGTAAAAATTCCTTTCTCTGACTTAAATGTGTTTTTTTGAGATAATATGTCCCCTTTCAGAAACGGACAGACGGGCGGACAGACAAACTCTGTTCCTATATCCCCCCACCCCACTGTGTGGTGGGGGATAAAAATTAGATGGTATTGGTGTCTTAAGGAGGAGGGGTTGGGACCCTCAAAGATTTTGTTTCAGGATACACATATATTGTAGGGTGAGTAAAGTACCAGTACTACATAAAACTAATACAAGTTCCATGGTACCATGTTGATTTGTAGTACTATTTACTGA